ACAGAGAGAAAGGTCTTCCATCCACTGGTTCATTCCCCAAATGAGCCGACTGGAAGCCAGGAGCCAAGAGCTTCTTCTGGGTCTCCCATGCAGGCCCAAGCACTTGGGCCATCTTCTGCTTTCCCAGGCCATAACAGAGAGCTGTACCAGAAGAAGAGCAGCTAGGATACGAACTGGCACTGTGACCTCACTTTTTAAACTCATCACTTAATAGCAGTCACCAACTCAGTTTAAGGTACTGAATTCTTTTTTTTTTTTTTTTCAGATTTATTTATTATTTGAGAGGCAGAGGCAGAGAGTGAGAGAGAGGTCTTCCATCCACTGATTCACTCACCAGATGGTGGCAGTGGCTGCCCAGGAGTTTCTTCCAGGTCTCCCACATGGGTACGGGGGCCCAAACACTTGAGCCATCTTCTGCTGCTTTCCCAGGATGTAGCAGAGAGCTGGACTGGAAGTGGAGCAGCTGGAACTTGAAATGGCGTCCATATGGGGTGCCAGCACTTTACCTGCTACATATGGGGTGTAGCAGCTTTACCCGCTACATCGCAGTATTGATTCTTAAGGCTTGCTTCAGCAATCTGAATCTGAAGCTTTTGAAGAATATCTGCAAACACCATGAAAACAGTGTTCATCATTCATTAATCAGTTAACTCATTGAAGAAATCGTTTTTCTTGGGTGCTTTTGGCTTAGTGCTGGGGATAGAAACAAATTAAACACAGCTATTATGTAATGAAAGTTATAGTTTAATAGGGAAAAGACAGCAAATAGTTCATTACAAGAAATGGGGTACTGTGGAACAGTGATTAAATTTAGACAGATTAGAGCACGTTTGGGATTTTTGAGAAGAGGTATATGGATCTGGAGAGAGGTTTGAGCAAAATATATAGATTTGGTAGTTATTGTCACATAGGAAGTGAATGAGGTCACTTGGGAAGAATTTGCACATGCAAAGAGAAGGTTAAGAATTGAGTTTTGTGAAATATTTCTAGTGAGAGGGAGAGTATGTAATCATAGAAGCTGTTTACAAATATTCCTGTTTTCTTCCTTCTGGGGAGAAAGTAGGATTGCTTTTATTTATTTATTTATTTTTGGTTCTTGGGATGTTATATTACCTGCCTTGGCCATTGGAATGTGACCAGGGGTGATGTTGACAGATTCCTGGAGAGTCTGACAGCAATCAGGGGGTCCTCCCCACTACTTAGAGATGAGACAATTCAAGCAACTAGCTTCTGTGAGGGTGGTAGATGCCATGTGCTAATCCTTGTAATCAAGATTTTTCTGAGCTGTTTAGCAGAGCTAGGTGATGATAATTCTACTCATTTTGGATGAAAGTTTAATGTGTTTTCTGTTGAGTTTCCAGTGGACTATCATCCAATTGACCAATGAAAATCATCCCTTTCCTGGACCAATCATGAGAATACCTCCTTTTACAACCAATCAGCCTTCAAAATGGCTTCCTGCTTTAGGGACTCGTCTCAGTGCTACTGGAAGTTTTTCTCTCACTTTTGTTTTCTTCAGGAATTCTCAGTGCTGTTGTGTTTTTTCCCCTCCTTCACTTTTTTTTTTCATAAACCACTTCTGCTTTACACAATTTTCTTTGTCTGTGCTCGTTTTTCGTGAACATGAGACACAAATCCGGCAGAGAAAGAATTGAAGCGCAGCAGAGCCCTGCAACAATGTGAGGCATTTCTCTGTAGGAGCTTTAAGAGACAGCACGTTGAGTCTGCTGGTTAGCTTTCCCTACCTTGATGATTATGAAGTTTGTTGAGTTGGAGCTTTGTCCACCTGATTCTCTTAGTGATTTTTCAATAGCGAAGTGCCTCGAGACCTGTTCTGGACTTGCACTGTGAATGAGGATTACTTTAGTTGGGGTACGCCTCTGGGTTACTTGTTATCACACTGTCACCTGGTCTTTCCTAATGATTCAAGGAGAGCCTTTGGAAAAGGAGACATTAAAGGAAGTTAAGAAAGAATGGTGAGCCAAGTTTCAAGGAGGTGGAAATATCAAATGCTTCATTGTGTAATGTAAATCAGAAAGTGTTCCAAGTCATTTGTAATTTTAGTAAGCTATGTGAAAAAATAGAGTCCCTTTCAAATGGTTAACAAAGGGGGAAAAATACAAGTCTGGGTTGTTGTAAAAGTGAGGCTTTTGCTGTTGCATCTCATTTACTTCTCAAATTTTGCCAGTTTGGCTTCTGGTCTTACCAATTTCTACTCTCCTTTTTCACTGCTATTTTGAACTTAAATTCCTCCTTATTCCTCTTTCCTTCCTCTGTGCCAGTGGCTTCTCTTTAAGATTCTTTTGGAGTTTCCTTTATCCTTTCTCAGTGGAACCTCTGAAAAGAAAGCTTATAATTGCATCTGTACTTGCTCACCTGTGATTCAATCCTTAGCCTAATGGAAACTGACTTTTGACCTCAATTAATCTACTGACATAGCTCATGCCATGGACAATTTTTTTTTTTTTTGGTCAGGCAGAGTGGACAGTGAGAGAGAAAGAGAGAAAGGTCTTCCTTTTTCCGTTGGTTCACCCCCCAATGGCCACTGCGGCCGGCACGCTGCGGCCGGCGCACCGCACTGATCCGAAGTCAGGAGCCAGGTGCTTCTCCTGGTCTCCCATGGGGTGCAGGGCCCAAGCACTTGGGCCATCCTCCACTGCACTCCCTGGCCACAGCAGAGAGCTGGACTGGAAGAGGAGCAACTGAGTCAGAATCCGGCCCCCTGACCGGAACTAGAACCTGGGGTGCCAGCACCGCAGGCAGAGGATTGGCCTAGTGAGCGGTGGCACCAGCCAAAATAAGTTAATTTTTTGAATTGACATTTTTGTTTTAACATTATAGTCATTTTGTAGCCTTATCGACATGTTACACACACACACACACATATATATATATTTTTTTTGACAGGCAGAGTTAGGGAGAGAAAGAGAGAGAAAGGTCTTCCTTTTTCTGTTGGTTCACTCCCCAAGTGGCTGCTACGGCCAGCACGTTGCTGCTGGCGCACTGTGCTGATCTGAAGATAGGAGCCTGGTGCTTCCTCATGGTCTCCCATGTGGGTGCAGGGCCCAAGCACTTGGGCCATCCTCCACTGCCTTCCTGGGCCACAGCAGAGAGCTGGACTGGAAGAGGAGCAACCGGGACAGAATCCAGTGCCTCGACCAGTACTAGAACCCGGGGTGCTGGCGCCGCAGGCAGAGGATTAGTCAAGTGAGCCACGGCGCCTGCGACATGTTATATATTGACTGAGTTTTGTCATAAAATGAGTTTAGTTTGGTACTGTACCCTTTTTTAAAAAATTATTTATTTATTTGGGAGTCAGAATTACAGAGAGAGAGGGAGACAGAAAGAGAGATTCCATCCACTAATTCACTCCCCAAATGGCTGCAAAGGCTGGGCTTGACCAGGCAAAAACCAGAAGTCACTTCCAGGTCTCCCACATGGGTACTGGGGCCCAAGAACTTGGGCTACCCTCTGCTGCTTTCCCAGGTGCATTAGTAGGGAGCTGGATTGGAAGTGGAGCATCCAGGACTTGAACTGGCACCCATATGGTATGCTGGCACTGCAGATATTGGGGTGGCTTATCCCCTACTCCACAGTGCTGGCCGCAATACTAAACACTTTAACAGAAACTCTTTTTTACACCACTCCAGTCTGAACAGACAACAGTTGCACTGTTTGTAACATAGAGATGGGTGTTATCCTTTTGTAATGAGAAAAAGTTAAATGACCTTGAGTTAAAATAGTGAGAAAAGTAACTGAATGTGGTTGTTATCCATGTAACCACTACTGTTGATTGGAGCTTCAGTCAGTCCTAATGTGTTCAGAACGAAATTTTATGAATGTCCTTGGCTCATTTATCATTACTTGTGAGTACACAAAACACTATGAGATTGATACATGATAAACTAAAATCTCATCTTTTTAGATACCTGTAAAATGAAAGTAATGGATACATGAACACTCAGATTTAAAAATCTGGCTTTGGGAACAAGCATTTGGCTTACCAGTTAAGATGCCAGCTGGGATGCCTGCATCCCATATTGCGGTGCCTGGGTTCATGTCCTGGCTCTACTCCTGATTGCAACTTCCTGCTAATGTAGAACCTGGAAGGCAGTGGTAATGATTTAGTTTGTTGAATCTCTGCTACCCATTGAGGGACCTGCATCCAGTTCCCTAGCTTTGGCTCTAGCTGTTGTGGCTTTTTGGTGAATGAGCCAGGGGATGAGTACCCTCTCTCTCTCTCTCTCAAAAAATAAATAATAAAGAAAATCATGGCTTTCATTGGGATGTCTCTCAAAAAAAAAAATCTGACATGGTCTTTCATAGCACAGTTTTTATTAATAAAGTCCTTCTCAAAGGCAGCCTCCTTGAGAAGGTGCACAGACTATTAGAAATAGTGAAGACAGTATGACTAAGAAGATTAACTGGCTGACTCACCAAGAAAATGAATTGAGAGGTTTTATTCTAGAAGGAAGCTAGAACAAGCAAACAGATGAGCAAACACTTATTGCAATTGATAGAATTTTTAGTGCCAGCTATATTTACATTTGGGAAATAGTGTGATTTTTTTTCAGGGATTTAATATATGATCAAAAGCTTGGAGCAGGAAGAAGGATAGTGCATGTGGGAAATCATGAAGCCACTTCACTGACTAGAGCAGGCAGACATGTGCAAACAATAAGGCCAGATTGCAGAGGTTGCTGTAGGTGTTGGAATACATATTTAATGTAGCAGAGAGCTTTTGAAGGTAATTGGCAATGCTTTGGGCTGAACCTGGGTTTTAGGCAAAGCATCCTCATGATGAGAGAATGACAGTACTTGGTGGTAAATTAATATAGAATATAAAGGGAGAGAGTTAAATATATTTTCAAAAATTACACTCTGAAGTGGTCTAGCTTTTAATAGTTAGTATTGCACATAACATTGCCTTAATTCATCTTTTAACAGAGCCTGTTGGATGTCTTGTCAACTGATTGATATTTTGCTATCTTCTTTATTAGGACCAGAAGCCAGAAATGCAACTTGACAAATGTATGAAGATCATCTTTTTGTTAGTGATTGGTGAACTAAAGTATTTCTTCATCTAAAGTCAAAATGAGTAAGATTTTAAAGAAGGTAAGAAAGTTCCCTTTAACAAGCCACCATCATATTGTCACATCAGACTTACAAGGATCTTTTAAAAAATACCAGAATTTTTGGAACTTATTACTGAAATTTTGTTCTTGACTCTTGACACTTGTCATTTAGCAGTTGCATGGTATTACTATTGTTATAGTTGTTGATGTGTTTACTCTTTTTCACGGGAATGAGACAAGTAGAGGTACAGAAGCTGCTCTGCTTTTAAAACACAGCAGAGATGCTTTATGAGTTCAGAAATCATATTTAAAGGTTACTTACAAGAGGAATGACAGTGAATTTTTTTCTTTTACACAGACATTTATTCAAAATGAGTTCATGATAATGTGTTCTTTGCTGAATGTTAATCTATGGCATCAATTTAAGGTGTTCTTAGTTTATGTTTCTGAGATTCTTTTATATGTCAAGCTCTAGAAGGAGCAAACTGGCTCACCCACTGCTAGGTAATAGCTAGTATTGTCTTTGCTTCAGGGCATTTAAAATGAAATTTTGAGGTATATTGAAAGAAGTTGCCAGTTCACTTACTACATAATAGCTTAAAATGTGACTGTCTGACTGTCTGAAAGAAGAAAAAAAAATCAAGAAATAATTGTGGAGTTATTTGGTGGAATTCACAACATAATAACAAGAAAAGGTTTTCATATTTGATCATAAAGGAAATGAGTCATTTTATTTCATCCTTATAACTGGTACAGTTTCAGCACCTACTAAAAAGTGTGCATGCATTTGAATAACTTAAGCAATTATTAAAAGCAAGTTACAGACATAAATGTCATTTACATAAAAAAGGAGACTTGGTTCAAACTGCTAGTGCTTTGAAATTTCCATAAGAGCAAGTTCAAGTTCAGAACAGGATTCAGTATTTAGTAACAATTCAAGAGTTTTCAATCTCTTAATTCCTCTGTGATATTCGTGTTCACCATTGAATCATTTTAAAAGCAAAGGAATGTTAATGTTGATTTGTATCAGCACTTGCAATTGAAAAATCGATTATCAATGGTGAATAATGATGACTCCAAGTAGCAGTTTGATTTATAATTTAGGTGTTAGAATGTAATAAAATACTTTTTATTGTGGTTGTAATCACTGGAAGTGTAATCTGAATCACTTCAAATAACAATACTTTCTTTTGATCTTTCCCAAATGAGGTTTGAAAGTAAAAAGATGCCTTTTCCTTTTTTTTTTTGCATGTTTCTCGACCTTTACTTATCATCTCAAAGGTGGTTATTTCTTAACTAGATCCCAGCCTTGCAAAGTAGCTAGAGATTTAATATGTATCATTAATTTGGAAAATAAATTTCAAACTATTCATGCTGTTTTATCTAGTTATTACATTATTAAGAGTAAATATATTATCAAACTCAGTAGGAAGTCACAAAGTTGATAAACAAGATTTCCAAAGGAAGTAACTGAGTATATACAAAATAACAAAGAAAAAATAAAAGTTAGTAAAATGGAGCAGGTACTCATTTAAATTAACAAAATTTAATTGAAAGATGTGACAAATAAATACTTTGTATTCCTACACTGCCATATGATATTGCTATTATTTGAAGATAAAACTAGACATGGAAAATATCTGATATTGAAATTTGTCTAAGCAGGGTTTATATGTTTTTCTGAACCAGCTTTAATTTTTGAGGTGTTCTTTTAAGTGTTTATATTTATTAGCTCATTTACTTCTTAGAACAACATCAGGTAGAAACTCTGGATTAGGACCGTTTTGTAGATGAGGAAGTTCAGCAAAGTACAGTTTAGAGCTCCAAATGGACAAATGTTGCTTAGTAGCTATGTGGCTTTGGTCTGAGTTCCGTCACTATTTGAGACTTTTGTTTCATGATTCTTTCCCATTTCCTGTAGTCCTTCTGTCATTAACGGCTATAATTTATTCATTTCCTTGGATCAGTTTTTCCAGATTCTATTTATGTGATTGACCTCATATAGCTCAAAGTCTTTAGTGAATCACAACCATCAGTCTGAGGACTTGAGCTATTTTGTAATGAAGTTTCAGCACTTGCTCACTTAACCTATTGATTTAGTTCTGGGTTTCAAAAAGTAGTTCATACACAATGGCTATTATTTATAGACTGCTGCAGGAAGCACCATTTACAGCCATTTGTTAGCACTTGCAGGGCCACTTTCTAATCTTTTGAATGTCTCGCTGTATCTACTTTTGTTCCCTGTATTTTATTCTCTATTGCAGAACAGTCAGAACTACTATTTTATAATGTAAATTGGATCATGTCACTTCCTTTCCAAAATTCTTTGAAGCTTTCCATTGCTCTTAGAATAAAATCCCAACTCCTACTCAGGTACATAGGGCCAAAAATAAGCTTGTTCTTGCCTACCTCTTTGATCCATCTACCTCTCTTTTCTTGTTCTCTTAAATGTGCCAGTATACAGCTGTTCCTCTTTATTCTTTTTTATGTTTAACTCCTTAGTTCCTTGCATATTTCACATTTCTCTTCTCCACAAAGGCATTCCCTGGCCCTCTGGCTATACTACTTCCCTCATAGTTCTTTCTTACGGTACTCAGCTCTTTTGTTTCAGAGTTATCACCCCAGTTCATGGTTCTATTTTAATTTTTCACCAGAAGTCCTTATTTTATATTGAGATTCATTCTTAGTGTGTTATATTCTATGGGTCTGAACAAATGTATAATAAATCTCCACAATTTCAGGATTATTCTGAGTAGTTGTGCTGCCTGGAAAGTCCTCTGTGCTCTGTCCACTCATTCCTTTCTCCCTCCTGACTCCTGGAAACATCTAATTTTATTTTTTAAAGATTTATTTATTTATTTGAAAGTTAGAGAGAGAGAAAGAGAGAGAGAGAGGGAGAGAGAGAGGGAGAGAGAGAGGGAGGGAGGGAGTGAGGGAGGGAGGGGTCTTCCATCTGCTGGTTCACTCCCAAGTTGGCCACAATGGCCAGAGCTGTGCCGATCCAAAGCCAGGAGCTTTCTCTGGGTCTTCTCATGTGTGTGCAGGGGCCCAAAGACTTGGGCCATCTTCCACTGCTTTCTCAGGCTATAGCAGAGAGCTGGATCGGAAGTGGAGCAGCTGGGACTTGAACTGGCACCCATATGGATGCGGGCATTGCAGGTGGCGACTTTATTCACTACGCCATGGTGCCGGCCACACCATTGATCTTTTTATGGTCTCAATAGTTTTGCCTTTTCCAGAATGTCATGTAGTTCTCACCATACTGCACATAGCTTTTTAAGATTGGCTTCTTTCCATGCCTGAAATACTCTCATGAGCTTTTCAGTCAGCTCCGAATGCCTTTAGGGCTGATTCTGAGGCCAGAGTGCTATTTAGGACATCTGCCATTCTATGAGTCTGCTGAGTATCTCACTTCCCATGTTGGATCACTCTCCCCTTTATTTACTCCATCGGTTAGCGTTAGCAGGTACTAGACTTGTCTGTGTGCTCCCTTTGACTCCCAGTCCCTCCACCATGACCAACTGTGAACTGAAACTGATCACCTGGAACAGTGAGATGGCATTGGTACATGCCACCTCGATGGGATTGAATTGGAATCCCCTGGTATGCTTCCAACTCCACCACTTGGGGCAAGTCAGCCTGAGCATGTCCCAAATTATACATCTCTTCCCTCTCCCATTCCCACCACCATGTTCAACAGGGATCACATTTCAGTTAATTTTCAACACTTAAGAATAACTGTGCATCAATTACAGATCTAAACCAGTCATATTAAGTAGAACAGATAAAAAAACTACTAAGAGGGATAATGTATTAAGTTGTTCATTAACAGTCAGGGCTATGCTGATCAAGCCACCGTTTCCCATAGTGTCCACCTCACTCCAACAGGTTTCCCTCTTGGTGTTCAGTCAGTCGTCACCGATCAGGGAGAACATATGGTATTTGTCCCTTTGGGACTGGCTTATTTCACTCAGCATGATGTGTTCCAGATTCCTCCATTGGAATCTCACTGCGAGTGAGATCCCAGTGGAAAGAACAGGTCATCAAAGAAGGAGGTACCTTTCTCTGAAGGGAGGAGAGAACCTCCACTTTGACCATGACCTTGTCTAAACAAGATAAGAGTCGGAGAACTCAGAGGGCTTCCATAGCCTTGGAAACTCATGACTGGAGCATAGGGAGATTACTGATGCCATAGACAGGAGTGTCAATTGGTAAAGTCAACAACAGGAGTCACTGTGCACTTACTCCTCATGTAGGATCTCTATCCTTAATGTGCTGTACATTGAGATTTAATGCTATAACAAGTACTCAAACAATATATTTCACTTTGTGTTTCTATGGGGGTGCAAACTGTTGAAATCCTTACTTAATGCATACTAAACTGATCCTCTGTAAAAAAAAAAAAAAAAGAAATTATCAATTCCCAACTTGACTCTCACTGGGATTAAACATGACAATAGGTCTGCTCTGATTTCATCATCATTTAAAAAAATCATCTATTATTTTTCACTTTATGTTTCTGTGTGGGAGCAAACTGTTGAAATCCATACTTGATGTATACTAAGCTGATCTTCTGTATATTAAGATAATCAAAAATGAATCTTGATGTGAATGGAAGGGGAGAGGGAGTGGGAAAGGGGAGGGTTGTGGGTGGGAGGGACGGTATGGGGGGGAAGCCATTGTAATCCATAAGTCGTACTTTGGAAATTTATATGCATTAAATAAAAGTTTAAAAAAAAAAGATTGGCTTCTTTCACTTAGTAATATACATTTAAGGTTTTCCTCACAGGTGTTCATGGCTTGGTGGATCATTTCTTTTTCTCATTGAAACTGTTATACTGGGGCTGGTGCTGTGGCTTAGTGGGTAAAGCTGCCGCCTGCAGTGCCAGCATCCCATATGGGTGCCGGTTTGAGTCCCGGCTGTTACACTTCCGATCCAGCTCTCTGCTATGGCCTGGGATGGCCCAAATGCTTGGGCCCCTGCACCCATGTGGGAGACCCGGAGGAAGCTCCTGGCTCCTGGCTTTGGATCAGCACAGC